CATCAAGATTTATAGTATGCAGATGTTCCCAGAGAAAACATAAGAGAAAGGTAATAATTTGCAAGCCACATCATTTGTTATTGAAATTTGTAAGGAACCGTTAGAATAGATATATTTAAATGCATTTTATAGCTACAATAGATAACCTTTTATTTATTTCTTTACTTCATTTACACCATGCTTTACTTCCCAGTGGGGACCCAAAATGGCTTACATCATTCTCCTCTCCTTCGTTTTATCCTCACAACAACCCTGTGGTTTTCCTCTCCTTGCAGAAGTGAATCAAGCCACTGTGTTGCTGACACAAGGTATAACAGATTCAGTGTCAGCAGTACTACCCACAATATATTTTAACAATGATACATTTTTGACACAACACAGTTTGTCATTTTGCTAACAAATCTTACATATTCAGTTTCTTTAGTTCGCATTCTGGAGGAACATCAAAGACACCAATAGACTGTGACTGTATACCACAGAGTCACAGAAAGGCAGGGAGAGAAAGGTCTTTGCATACATGGGCACACACACAAATACTTCCATACATGAAGGGTGAAGAGTACCAATTTACTCCTCTGGCAGTAGGTGCCTTGTATTTTATGAAATGTAACTGTCGAAGGGTTTCACAATATTTGGGTTGCAGGAGAACCTTTCAATACCAGGTGAACTGAGCACTGAAACTGCTGCTCTGGATACTGATGCTCTAAAACACACATGGAGCTTTTGACTTCTTACCCGGAGTAGGAGCTAGATTTCTTATTCAGAAGAAGGAGATCTGCTCACAACTTCCTGTAAGAATGCAACTCAAATTCCTCTATGAAATCTTTGGAAGAGAGTGTGTGTGCATCTTTGGAATGGGACGTGTGACCAGTCATATTTTGAAATAATAATTTACTGAGTGTAGTATTCTCATCTGTCTATGCATTTTTTATCTTGCACTTACACCGTGGAGCACAGAGTCTCCCCTCAGTTTTATCTCATCATAATGTTATTTCCTGTGAAGTAAGCAAGACTTGCTCATGGTCCCCCAGGGAGCTTGCTGGGCCTTGAACCTCTAGTTCACCATTCACCATCTACAGTACAATGCTGTTGTGGGTGCAGGGGTGTTTCACCTGCAGTTCTGTATGCTAGATGTATGCAGCAGGATGAAACTAGCTTTTAATTTTACACAGCCTTTGCCAGACTGAATAATTGTTGAAGGTTCTCCAAGAGTTCAGTTAAAAAATAAAGGCTTCCAGGAAAAGATTCATTAATTTACAATAAAAAAAACCTACTCCTTTCAGGTCCAATTTAAAGCTCTCTATTCAGGATTATTCCAGATATGATAGTAGTATTAAATTTCTTGTTAATTTTTATAAGAATCAATGGATACCATACAGCCATCATAAATTCAAATGACTTCATGTATATGTCAAATTATTGGAATTTTCTATAAAAAACAATAAGTAGTAAATTCCATCTACATGTGATTTAGATGTCATAAATGTGCATAACTATTTATTCTGCTTGGAATCCAATTGGTACCAAATTATTAGAAACAATTAAGTATCAGATCTAGTACACCAACCTATTTAGTATCAATTTTGAAATGTATAATTACACACTGAATATGCATATTCAGTTTCATTGCATTACCATTGTAATGTTCAATATGAAATTATAAAAATAAACAGCATAAGCAACACATGTGATTTAATCGAATCCCTTTCTTTACTTTAACAACACAACATGAGGAATATCATTAACAATTAACCTTTTCAAGTTGCTTGGAAATATAAAGTACTTGCAGATTTTGAATAACAATGGCAATGGTAAAGATAACAATAATTAAAACTCATGTACAGAAACTGTGCTTGTGGCATTAAAGCCTCTGGTACTGATTAGCTGAGCAGGTGTGTATACAAAATGCTCATCTGTTCATGGAAATAAGCTTCTTCTGTGAGGGAAGGTACAACTGCCAGTTTGGCTGGGATTAAAACCTCATATAGCAGCAAGTTAACAGCTGAGAAGAAGTCCCAAGATGTAGGGTAGCTAAGATGAAGAAATAAAACATTGATGTTGAAGATTGAAAATAATGGGCTCAAATATTAATTTTTCCAATTCACAAAACTTGCTTGTGTTTTGAATTGATTTCCCTTTCCCTGCAAGTATTAATCAATTTGTTATTAAAATCAAGATACATTATGAGTTGACTAATGTAGCTGTATCTTTTTTCCCTGCATAGTTGGCATTCATGGCATTCATGAGGCTAGACATCCAACATCAGTAGGCACTGTTGCCACATGACTGGAAGTTGATTAATGGAAGGATTTATTCCGTTTTGATGCAATTGCTGAAATTAACTAGAAACAATATCCTGATGCTGGCCTGAAAAATATGGCCAAGAATTTTCAAATTAGAAAAAAGAATCATGTGCTCAGGGGCACAGCATGTACAATATAAATTAACCAAAGTAATCTGCATTTCCAATTGGCAAATGCACACTTCCCAAATGCCAGTGCAAAAAAAAAAATGCACCAAAAAGTGAGCCAATTTAGAACACTAAAAGTTATCTTTTTCACAGATGATGCTTGCAATAGCTGGCCTAATTATAATTCGTAGCATCACTGGAAGGAAAGAAGGGTGAAGGCTAGATAACTGAGGCTGATTTCGCACTAGAGCTGCCTCTATGTTGCGCCACCATTTGCCCCGATACTATTGGTCAATTGCACACTCGAAGCCGCGGGGCTGCATTTGACCCGTAGCTTCACCCGATTTCCTCCGCAGTTTCGTGATCCTCAAAAAACAGGATCACGTAACTGTGTGGGAAATCGGGGAAAGCCGTGAGTCAAAATGCAGCCCCACAGCTTCGGGTGTGAAATTGACCAATAGTATCGGGGCAAACGGCGGTGCAACACTGAGGCAGCTCTAGTGCGAAATCAGCCACAGTGAACAAAAGGACTGGATGCAGGCTTCAGGAAAAGGGAAGAGAAGATAGGAAATCTGAAAGAAACCTGAAAGTGCTTCAAATCTTGTGAAGAATGTGGAAAGGAAACAGAAGTGCTTGGGAAGTCAGTGAAGAGACGTGGCAGAGGCTAAAGGAAACAGTTCCTACGTCTAGGGACTAGAACCTGACTGAGCAACCTGCAAATTCTTTGACTGCGAGTTTCCATTTTACACTAGACCAGACAGCTAGGAATATATAATAATTAGCCATATACCTAGAAGGCCATACCTTGAGGCCTGTTAATAGTGTACTGTATAAAATTCACTCCACCTAAATTGTCAACACCACAGCATATGTAATTGCATGTATCATACAAAAACAAACAACCATTTCTATAACTGATCATGGCTAAGGGCCAAACTACATGTACATGCAAATTCTACAGCATGTTTTTATTCTAGGGAAAATAACTTCAGAAGGGGATAATGTACAGCAATGAAGCACTCATATGGTGATGGTCTCCCTGTTCCAGCATTTCCCATTGCCACCATTCTAGCCTTTCTCCTCTAAATTGGGCTGCACACCTTTCTTTCCCCACACCCTTTGCTTCTCTATGGTAACATGCTTTCTTCCCAAACTATTTGGGTAATGCTAAAAAGCAGGGTGGTGCTTATAGAAAATATCTACGTTGTATTGTGGTTGTGGCAGTGAAGGTCAGACAATGATTCATGAACATTCCAAGGGCTAGGGAGTCAAGCTGTTAGAATTTTTGTACTCCATTGGAGGGAAGGTTGTCAGTGTGAGTAAAACTAAAACCTCACACAGGTCCTGGGAACAGGAGATGTTTGTAGGGTGGGTTGAGTATGGAAAAGAGATACTCGAATGTAGGGAAGCAAAGGGGCAAAGGAAAAGAGGCTTAAGGAATGGTGCAGAATAGACCACAAACTGAAAACACGAACTTAAGAGAAAAATGCCTGAGGAAGAGAGCATATGAGTAGCAGCTCAGGGACAAGAGGCAATAAGGAAGTAGATGGGGAGGGGAAGGCAAAATTTCAAACCGTAAATTGAACTAAACAGCCAATTTCTTTGGCAGCACAGTTTCCAAAAATACATCCAATTATTTGCTCCCATTCAGTAATTTTCTTACAGGAGTGTCCCAAACCAGCCTCAGAATTACTTAGCACACACGGGCAACTAATTCATTTCAATGAACAATGATCTGTTGCCAACACTGACAAATTAACAGGGCTGTCTTCGCCCACACAAGTCCATGTGAAGAAAAGAGTGAATGCAAATCTCTGTTATCAGGCTGTGTCTGGCAAAAAGAGAGCTCACGCTGTACAACTAGGTTTCAAATACTGGAGGAGTGGTCCTATGTTAGATTGACTCAGTCCAAATTAATTCCATAGGGCTTACTTTCAGGAAAGGGTCCTTAGGAGAGCAACTTGGGTTGTAATTTCTGTCTACCTAATGCTATAAGAAGCAGCTCTGCATTTTCTAATTCTGGTTGTCTATACACTAGTTGATTGTAGCTCAAGTATCATGCAAAAAAATTATTTCAGAGTGAGATTTGAAACTGGGGAGAGAGATGTGTTGAAAAACCTTGCACTAAAATATCAAACGTGGCCATTCCATAAGCACTCATTGTTTACATGCAGAGCCCTATAAAAAGGGAATAGAAAGGGCACCATGATGTAGTCTTCTGTGTTGCATTACTCCAGGAAGCATTTCTCCATGTAAAAATAATAGGAAACAATTAACTTTCCCTCCAACTTTATGGTGAAAATAAGGAATCAGGAGAAGTAATGTCCCATTATAGAGGTATTATATAGCTCTCTTATCAACAAACAGTTTGATCGATTTGCTTCAACATATTTCATGTACCCAACATTTCTTCCAAGGACAGGCATAATGACACTCCACATAAGAATGAATGGTTAAAAAAAATGTCAGTAAGAAGGAAAACAGAACAAAAGAACAAAGAAAACACCTGCGGTATGATAAACAGAATGTAACATGATACCAACTGGTTCTAAGAATGAAAATTAGAAAGGGAAAATGAGGTGGCACTTACATTCTCATATTGCTGGTCTTGTTGATAATTACAGATTTCCCAGTTTGATCTACATTGTGATCCATGCCGAAATAAGCTGCCACTCTGTGCACCAGCATTCGCTGATATGATGACATTTGGGGGAACTTTTTATAATGATTACTGGAACAAAAACGTCAAATGTTTCAATAGGATGCAACTCTGATGTGATGGAACAATAGCACTCAGCTTTAGGGGAAAAAACACTTTATATTAACCCTCATGATATGCCAAATTACAAGGCATCTTATTATTTTTATTCACTGAAAGAATACTTCCAGTGAATAAATTTTGCATGTACCTGACCATTGATTTACTTTCTAATTTTATCCAATTTGAATTAGTAAGCAGGTTTTTTTTACAATGCTAAATATAATAATACAATATATATTATAATAATACTACCTATAATATATTA